GTTAAATTCCTTCTCTGGTGAGTGAAGAGGAGGCATCCCCGCTCAGGGGTTCGTCTCGCTTGTCTTGAATGAGATGAAGCATGCTGCTTCTCCTTTTTTCCTTCTTGCTTTCTCTTTCTCCCTCCCTTTCTTTTTCTCTCTCTTTCTTCCTCCCTTCCTCATCACTCTAGAAGCAGACACAACAATTAACTTCAGCTAATTACCCAACTTTCAAGATAGCTCAGCTCAGGTCAGCTAGGTGAATCTCACTTAAAAGGCAGAAGTGGGGACCAATTTTTGCTTCCATTGAAGAGCCCTTCCCAGGATACCAAATCTGAGGTTTAATATCTATTGTGAATTGGAAAAAAAGCCATGAACTGTGTGAATGTCCAATTTTGAAATAACACTGTGAAAGCAGGAGGAGGAATGGGAAAAATCCTTTTTCTACCCCAAGACAATTAATTTACTAGAAATAAACATTTCATTCAGACACGCTAATGGGGAGGAAAAAACTTCTGTCTTTGGAAAATAATTTTTTCTTTTGAAAACTGTTTTCTTCAGGGAGGACTGGTAATACGCTTTCCTGTCTTGAGGCTCAATGTGTTTCTACGTAAATGGCAGAACTGGGGAGAAAGATGCCCCGTGCTTTCTTTGGCTGTACAGGCTCTTGCCCTGACTGGAGTCTGTCCAAGGAGTTAGAAAGGAAGAAACTAAAGATTATGATGAGCATGTACAGAGCATTTCCTTAGAAATACAGAATTAAATTTCTTTCCTCCTCTACTGCTCAAACCAGACAAGGAATAAAGCAGCGTTTCATGATGTGGGAATTAATAAAGAGGGAGAGGCTGTCTGGAGGGGTTGGTTGGGGGATGGAGCTTGAAAAAGGCAGGCAAGCCCAGTGAAACTGTTCCAGATTTGGGGAAAGAAGTGAAGCCTGGAGTAGGAGGGAATAAGGCATATTCTTCTGTTCCGGATACCAACAAAAGATGTCGTTCAGTGCTCTCTCTGGTTGGCTGGTAGGCATGTTCACTAGGAATTAGGTGGAGGCAATCGTATAATGTAAGCATACCAGAGCTACTTCAGACAATTGCCAAGTGAGGACACAGTGGATGGAGGAAGAAGAAAGGTTCGGGGAAAAACACAGACTTTTCTCCCCTGTGATACTTGGGCTCAAGTTCCTGTTCTGTCTGATTTTGAGCAAAACAAAAGAGTCTGCACACAATTCTCCTGCTCTGAAATGAAGATCAGGTGACGTTACGGCAGAAGGAAGATACCAGACATTCCAGTGATAGGATTAGCTGCATGTTAAGTCACATACACTGAGAGATCTTCGGAAAGGGCATCTGACATCCACTACGGAGATGCGTTTGCCCTGTGTTTGACATCAGTTCGTAACGATTACTACCTTCGGCCCTTAATGGTCACTTCTCTCTCTCAGGAGCCATTTCTGTAGCAACTTGTTCAATGCTTGCAGTGGATCTCTGTGCCTGAGCTTGCATTTGTTGCTCCTGGTGGTTTGTTTGGGCTTTTATTCCTATTCATTGCTGCCTTTGGCACAGGACATCCTTGGTGGTGTTCTGGACCGCTGTTATTTCAGGGTGTGAAAGATTCTTAGGTCTTTAATCTGGGAACACAAACTACATCTGTCACCTGGGTATCTGTAGCGGTTTCTAAGCAACCACAAGAGGGTTTGGGTTTTTTTTTTCTGCGATTCATATTTAAGAAATAATTTGCTCATGCATGAACCAGAATCAGCCTGAGCACCACCCCAGGAGACAGAAATTGTAAACTGTAATTTAGGCTAATTCTAGTCTAAAGCATGAATTAGAGTATTTTATATAATCTTGGAAAATATACCATATAAATATATGTAAGCACAGAACAGGTACAATTAATGTGAGCACAGTAGGAAGCTTTAAGTAACTCTGGGAATGTGAGAAACCAAGTTGGAACATATTCTTGACATGTAAAAATATTTCCCACCTGCCTTGTTTGCATAAGAACAAGGTTTTAGCAAGTACATATTTGCATGTCAAAGTTAAAAGCGGGGAAAATATTTTCACCCTCGTAAGAAAAATGCATACTCTTGGCACAGGCAATTTGCATTTAGTAAGTTTAAAGTATCTAAGTCCTTTCGTGCTATATGGAAAGTGTATGAACTTGCGACAGGGATTCCATTTCAATGAGTTGATTTGCAAAGGCAACCACGTGGAGCAGTAATTGATCTGATGTCTTTCCACGCATTAACTTGTAATACAACTGGCAGTCCCAAGCGATGTATGCTTCCGAGTTTCACCCCACTGTCCTGTATCTCAGAGTGAAACGATAAGGCAAAGTTTTAAATGCTGCATGCTTAATTGAAAGCAAGTACCTTGAAGATGCAGTAGATGTGAGGAAATCTGGAATTCTAAAATTATACCTGATTTGGTGCCGCTGCTAATACACACACTGGTCGGCAAATGCTGGCACAGCTGGAGCCTGTGAATCTGTAGAGATTCTCTTCTAACAGTAAAGCACCCTGGAAAATGCATTTAGGACGAATTATGGCACCTTTTAGGCTATTAGTAACCTAGCTTTAGGCCATCATTTTGAAGGCATGTTACATTCCTTCAGAAACCCTTTGCAAATGTCCTCTTGCTTAAGAAATAGGGATTGCATAGGCAGGCTTCATGGGTGATTTAACTAATGTGCTGGAGATTGTAGATAAACAAGATCCAATTATATCATACCTATTCAAAATAAGGCAGTAATTATATATACGTAAAAGTGAAATGTAAAAAATACACTGCCACGTAGCTGTTGAGATAAGCCTTGTCACTGCCCTGTCAAAGAAGTTGGAGAAGGCTGCTGATTCACTGAAGCAGTGTAGAAAAACAATCATATATTGAAACGGCACAACTGGGAATCGGTAGATCTGTTCCAGAATTTGCCCACAGGATTGCTCTCTGAATTTGAACTGCATGTTATACAAATTTTGAGTTTTTGTGTATGTCATTCTGTTGTTCAATTTGTTGATGTAAAGTGGGGTTGTGCTACCCTTTCTGCTCGAAGCTTTGTTCATAAACATATGATGCTCTAGTAATAATTAATGTAACACATTAATAAAATAGCATACACTTTATTTTTCCCTTTTAGTAGTTCACTTCCTGCTCCATTGTGTTTAATGTGTTAGCTGAGAGCAAAGTAAAATTAAAACAGTTTTTGGAGGACTGCAGGGAAGAAGTATTTCCTTCCTTAAGTGTCCTAATCAGACCTTTTAATTTCAGCCTATCATTTTGTGGCTGCGGGGAAGATGGGGGATTAAAGGTCAAGAATGCAAAGATCCTTATGATGGAAGCAGATGCAAGTGGTGTCCTGCTGTATGAAAATATTTGGAAAGCTGCTGATATGGAACTGTCAGGAAAACAGCAATTTAGTCCCATAGCTGCTGGGCACTGCTTTCCTCAGCAGAGCATTTTAGCTGCTGTTAGGTTCCTGGGAGCAAATGGGTGCTATTTGGGTACCACTCAGCTGCACCAAGCATTGCATTTGATGTCATCTGGTGAATATTTTGAAGGTGTATTTTAGCACAGTCAGTGCTGTGCTAGAAGTCTTCTGGTCTTCTAGTTTATAGTTACCTTACAGTTTTGGCCTGATCCTGAGCTATGATATTGGGCTGCAATGAAATGGAGTACACAGTAGCATTGGAAGATGGTTCTTGTTTAATAATAGTCAGTCAGTTAGGGATTTAATGGCATGTAAAATGCAATGTTTGTAAAAGTGGACATGACTTTTTGAAAACAGTGTTAAGCATACAACTAAAGTTAAGCTAATGCATTGTAAGACAGTATTAGATGCCATTGTGTGTGTTGTCACAGTCTGGATAGCCATAAACCGGAAGGAATAAAAGCTCTCCGAAACAATCAGGCATCTTGTGAATGGGTTTCAGTTCCTCACAGGAGATTAACAGCACTTCTCATTGTTAATATATCACGGTAGGAGACACAGCAAGAGTTGTGTTTGTACTCCTGTTTGGACTAAGCCAGTCCAGGAGAACTAACGTAGCCTGATCCGAACACCATTGCAGCAGAGGAAGTGCTTTCTCGGGATTTTTTGGTTATCTACCTAATGCGTGCAGTCTGTGTTTGTGTGAGCACATGCAAGCATATGTACGATGTGGACTGCTGGTCGTTGATACTGTAAAGCGCTGTCTCAGCATGGTCATGTCCAAAAAGACTTGCTAGCAAAATGACTGCAGCCAAAAGCAGTTGAAGAGGTATTCCTGAGCATGCAGGAGTCCCTTCTTAAATCCATGTGTTCAGATGGGAAGGTGCTGTGATTCAGAGATAGATGCAGAGAGTTTTGTCATGCACTGAATTTAGTAGGTATGTTTTGTATGTATGAAGCTCAATTTAAAAGATCGGGGCTTTCATATCACATACCTCTATGGGATTTTCCAGACTGCGCCGACTCCTTTGGTTTTGTAAGTTGATGAGAATACTGCTGTATTTTCCTCCCTCGTCTGTTCTGTGGTAGCTAATACACATATGTACTGCTAATTCACTTTCATTTCAGATATGTGAATTTTGGATTTCTTGTGTAAAATGTAGCTGCTATTTACCTTGTTACTTTTCTTTCGGATTGGCCAGTCGTGAACTGGATGGCATGATGGTGGCCCCTCTGGTAAAGGAGTTGTGTTAATTTTCAGGCAGGGCAAACTTAAAAATTACCTGTAACGATCTCACAGGAATAAGATTGGGAGAAACCTTTCCAGTGTCGTCTTGGCTCTTTGGCCGAAATGTGAACTCTCCTATTCTTTTTGGCTTTGAAATGCTGATTCTAGCCTTCTTGTGGGTTCTTAAACACCTTCTCAAATGACCCATTTTAATAACCCAAAAGCTATTATATAACGAGCAGCCATAATTTAGTCCAAAGCTCTAGGGGACCCTTGCAGTTCAGCAATGAATAGTTAATGCAGTATAATGTTTAGCAGGTTATTAGTTTTCACTGTACAAATGCTGATCAGGGAATGCTTTTATAAGGTGTTTAAAAGAAAATGTAATTAACTGGTTGCGTGCTTCTGTTGCAGCTCAAATTGAAATTATTCCATGCAAGATCTGTGGAGACAAATCATCAGGAATCCATTATGGTGTCATTACATGTGAAGGCTGCAAGGTAAGCTTCTCAAATATTAAGTCTTAAAACGGCATTTAGCCTTTTGATAGTGATTATTTTCCTTCCTTTTTTAAAGAGCAAGCATTGCACCAAAGTTGGATCGGTGGATTCCATTTCAAAGAATATTAAATCAATTGGGGATTCTGATGTACTGGTCTTATTTCAGTTCTAAATATGGCATTTTTGTCCCGCACACACACATTTCAGGACAAGCTTCAAAAATCATGCAGTTGTGCCGTGTGTGCCATGAACTGTCTCTCTGTGAATAAGTAGAACAGGTACAGAAAGATGATCTGCTTCTAGCACAGCACAAAGAATCTGTTCTGTGGATTCACTTGAGAGGGAGTTTGTGGCTTTCTTGAATCTCCCTCTCCATTTTTGCTTTGGAAATACTAAGAAGCTGTGTTGAAATATGTGAGAGCTCTCCAACTTCTCAATTTTCTTCTGTAATCTGCTAGTTATAAATCTGTTCTGTTTGGTATGGAAGATGATGTTGCACAAATAACACGTGCTACTGGTGCTAAGCATAGTCAGGTCTTCCTGGAAGCAGGGCTTCCTTGCAATGCAACCGTTGCTGCGTAAGGTTTAGGCTTTGGATTTTTTCCTGGATTTGTACCTTCAGTAACTCTAGTGAACAACGATTACACTAGAAGTGTTTATATTTCGTTTAGTTTGTCTCTCACAACCAAGAATTAAATTGGACAACACTAACACTAGGCCAGAGTGCTGTGAAGCTCATCTCTCCTTTTTATCACTGGTACAGAATTACAGCACTAGCTTGGGAACGGCACGGTGTGCACAGCTGTGCTCTTGCTTGTTGCTTTCTTCATGTATGTACATGTTGCAATCCCATGCTGATAGGTTTTCCACTGTTAATCTACACTTTAGGTGTGAAGAACTTATATTTATGACAGTTTTTAGTCTGCTGTTCTGACATGCTTGATACTACCACCCATCTTCAAAAACTAACTTCCATGCTTTCATATTATAGAGATTTCTTTTGTGTTTTTCCGTGGAAGATTTTTTTGTGTTTTTATTAAAACATTCTCTCAGTCTCATGGAAGTATTGGTAAGAAGGAAGGAAACAACAACAACAACAAAAATCTAAGAATGTTAGAATGATACAGGACAGCACCTTCTGCCCTTTGTAACTGCTGTTGCTGTGGAAAATGCAAGAAATGCACTAAAAATGCATTGGTAATAAACTGGTTACTTTTTTCAGCTTTATGTGGTTGAGCAGCACTTACTAAATTTCAGCTGTGTGAAGTGGCAGGAATTTGCAGTGAGAATTCTGCTGTATGACTATCTCATCAAAGAGTATCGAGTTATGTTCAAGGTCTGAGACCTCTTTAATTCGTAAATGGTCTGGGACCAGTATACCTGAGAGGCTGCCTCAAGATCCATGACAACATCATTGTCAACAGGCTGAGGTTAGCATAATGCTAACGCTCATCTATGCAGAAAACAGACCTTTCTCAACATGGCTTGTTGCAGAACAGGAACAAGCTGCCAAAAGAAAGGAAAGTTGCCAGCCGTTATTATCTTTTGCTTCGTCTTCATGCAGGTCTTTGGCCTTGCCTTCTCTGAAATCCTGTATGTGAGAAAAGCCCCCACCAAAAGCAGCAGGACAGCTGCATGCAGAAGGAAGCAACAGAGCACACCACACTCACAGTCACATTAGTTAGTACATAGCTGGTAGGCACTTAGCACTGCGGGTAAGAGACAGACGTATCCACTGAGCATTCCTCCATCAGAGTGACTGTACTTCCCAGGAATAAAAGCAAACCTGAGTTATTAGGAGAAAATTCCTTTGTGTACCTCCAGCAGTCAGAACAACAGATGCTAGTCTGATAGTGAGAAATGTGTGCGCAGTTCTGTACGTTTTAGAATAAACCGTTTTCCTTTGAATTCTGTATAAATGGAGTTCTCTGGGAGCTCTGTGCAATCCCTGGTCTGCTCCTGAGAATCCCACCAGAACGGTCAGCTGGTGGGAAGCGGCAGAAGGGAAGGCGAACAGGCAAGTATGCTCAGCACCCTGAAACCCATTTGAACCTTGAAAGCAGAGTGTGTGTGAAAGTGGCCCAGTGGATGAAGTTAGGCATTTTCTCCTTCTCTTGGAGCAGCAGAATAAAGTCTTCTAGCCATACAATTTCAGGGAAAATTTTAAAGCCAATGAATATCAACTTAGTTAACTAAGTTATTTCCCTTTCAGGAGGGAAATAACTCTGAAGCTCACCCTTCTTTAATGCCAGAGCCCAGATGACCTGCAAAGTAGTGACAGACAGCGGAGTGCTAGTGGGCACAAGTCAGAGGAAGAGTTTAAATGGTCACGGCCTAGACAGCATTTAAAATGCCCAACTGTAGCAGATGGATTTTGTTTGTGCGGTGCTCTTCCACAGTAATGTCAACAAAGTCTCACCCAACAGAACTATTTTGGCTGGTGAAAAAGTTGGCATAGCTTGGCTTCTGCCAAAGGAGCCAGGTGTGTGTATTGGTATGTTTTTTCTCCCAGCTTTTCTGTGGCTATGATCTCTGCAGGTTCGAGCATGCTTACATTGCTCGTCATGTTGTGCTAAACTGTCTTTTGTAAAAAGTACTTTGCTACGAAGACCTAGTTCCCAGTCCTGCGCTCTGATTCCTGGAGCTGATGTCCTACACCAACAGACAGTCCCAGAGAAGTCAGTGAGGTTCTGCACAGGTGCTACAAACCCATCCATGTGCATCAGATGGCAGGATCAGGGCCTTAGCCATCAGAAGTGAACAGATGTGCTGCTGCCCTCTCAAGCCAGGCCTGTCAAGAATGATCTACAGGCAGCAACAGCAGCAGCAGCAAAGTGGGATGTTTTCAGCTCTTACCAGCTTTCACTCCAGTTCGCTGTGAACTTTCAATGTTACTTAATAGTAACATTAACTTAAGTGCTACTGCGTAAATACTAATAACCACCAGAAATATAATTTATTTAAAACCTAAAGTGAAGTTTTAGTTGCAAAGACCTATTTTGCAATCTTAATTTATGTCATGTATGAAATCACAGACAAGCTCTTGTCAAATTGACTTTTGCTGATCCTGTTGCTCTTCTACAGGTTTGTGACCCTTGCATTTCACATAACTGAAAGTTTTCTGACCAGTTTTTGTTGTTATAGTGCATTTCACACAACTAGAATTGAAGATTTGTAATTAAGCCAATTAGTGTTTCTTGAGAAGTTTTCATTTCCTATCTTGCTATGATGTTACTGCCTGTTTTTATGAAGTTAGTGGCTGTGTCAACCTCTTCAGCTGAACTTGAATCTGCCTTTAAAAAATAAAATTTAACACCCCTTCTTCTTTTCCCCCCTAGTGAAAAAAATCAGGTTTTAGCCAGGCTCTGTTTTATACTTTATCTAGGAGGGCTCCTGTGGCTTCCTATAAATAAAATAAGTTTTAAAAGAGAGGGGTTTTTTCTATCTGACCATTAGTGATGCTCACTATACAACATATAATGGGGGAAAAGGGAAGGTGAGGTTAATCATAATTATTAATCATGAGACTTTTACTCAGAAGCATGGAGGAAGAATGACACAAAGACTGTACCACGACTCAGAAATAAAAGTTTATTCTCCTGTGTAAGATTGGAAATACTACTATTGTAGTAGCGCTACTGAAAAACCTAGTATCTGTGTGGAGCGCTTCCTCAACCGTTAGTTGTGGGAACCCATGAACAACCTTTTGCTCTATATTAGGGGCCATGCTGAGAAAGGAGACTGGTTTGTACACATCTATATTCTTTTCTCATAGCTGA